TAAGTATGTAAAAATTTATTACATTTCCTGTTGTACGAGGGTTTTACCCAATTCTCGAACCGTGTCAGAGTGAATCCATGCTATAAAAGTACCGTGTTATACGGGGGATGGTACCAATTCTCGAATCGTGTTAGAGCGAATCCGTGCTATAGAAGTGCCGTGTTATACGGGGGTTACCTGTATTTATTGTGGCATCATAACAATGCCAGGCAGCCAGGTTGCAATTTTTAATCATATTTTTAATTTATTTAATTTAAAATATATGCTTTCCATCTCAAATTAGTAATGGTTTACCCCTGTACCTCATACTTTTCCTTTAACAATAGAGTTGTGTCGGTCATCTATCTAACATCTTTCAGGGGAAAATATTTGAATTGAAATAACATGACTTCTGGTTTGCATTTGGAGTTTGTATATAGTTAATTGGGGCCTCCCATCCTAAGGTTTCCATATCTGGTCTTGTCTTTCATCTATCTAACTCCATTCTCAAGATTAAGGAAAGACACAGATGGACGACAGTGGGAATTTATAGGTCTAAAATTTTTTCAAATCACAGCCTAATAAATATGGTTATGTTATTTTAAATGTTTTAATTATTGTTTAGAATAATTATAATTTTAATTAATTAAGCATTAATTTATTCAATTTATGCAGTTTATTTTATGCTATATTTAATAGCTATTTTATACTGTTAATTTTATGATTTAATAATGTAAAAATTGATATTATAAAAGTTGTTATGAAAATTATAAATTTTATAAATAAGTAATTATCATTATTGTTATTATTATTATTATTATTATTATTATACAGGATAATCAACATGAAAATCATGAAAAGAAACTAGAAGGAACTGAATTTTCAGATAAAGCAATTATATATGTCAACGTTGTTGATATAGATGATCAAAACCCAACTTTTATTAAAGATTGTGGTGTACAAAAGATAAGAGAGCATTCTGTGAGTAATATTAAGTATTTTATTACTTTTTTATCTTCATCTAAATTTTACAATCTGTTTATTTAGAATGGTACTGTGGCTGTTGTCTATGCTATTGATGGAGATCGTGGCATTAATAATCCTATTCGATACAGCATTGATGAAAGTAATACAATATTGTCTTTTTATTAAATAATGTAAACAGTAAATTTATGTTTTTATTAATTTTATTTATTTTAATAAAGATTTGCAATCTTCATATTTTGGAATAAGAAAAAATGGTGAAAATGGTATTCTATTTGTGGAAACAGATATTGATAGAGAAAATGAGACTATTACCAATAATCCTATCTTAACAGTTAATATAATTGTAAGAATAATTTTTGTTATTAAAATTTCATATATTTAGTAAATACCTGATCAAAATTTTAGAATACTATTTTATCAATTTAATAATATTTTTGTATAATATAAATAAACTATTTACAAAATTATATATTGTGTAAACGGATGTTAGTAAATATTAAAGTAGTTTTGTTGTTATTCTTTAGGCTGAGGAATATTACGAAAATGGTACACGCGCATTTAACCGAACAACAATAAGTACTTGCACAATAATTATACTTGATATTAATGACAATAAGCCACTATTTAATGAAAAGCATTACGAAGCATCAGTAAAAGAGAATACACAAATAGGAATACCAATTACTTTAAATAATGTTTTAATACCAAAAGTGTCGGATATTGATGAAGTAAGTCATACTTTATTATTATATTTATTTAGTATATAAAAAATATTAGCTATGAATAATTAAATTTTATTTTTATATTATATTTTCAGATACTATGTTATATTTTTACATTTAGACATTTTAATGTTTATTATAATTTCCTTCCTATAATTCTTCTACAGATTAGTATTTTAAAAAATATTCCAATTTCATAATCTATAATAACTGGATGTGTATATCAGTTCTCTCATTAAACATTAGTGAATTAAGTGGTAAGTGGACTAAGTGGCCCAAAGGAGCCCGAGGTCTTGAAAATACTATTGAAAAAAGGGATTGCGAAAATGCACAAGATAGACAGAGATAGTCTAAAAAGATGCTTCAATATAGACATAAGAAGTAATAAATGATATAGCTTTATGGCCAATAATATTAACAGATGCTATTATTGACCATATTCACAAAAACAAACCAAAAAGTATCGGAAATATATAAAATTTGAAATCAGTGTATAAAGACAGAGATAAAGTGTAATACAGAGGACTTTCTTATGATCATTTTTACATTTTTACAGAAAGAAAACAAATAAAATTATGAAAAAGAGAAATTGGCTGATATTTTCAGAAACAAACAAAAGTTTTTACTGCTACCCTTGCAAACTCTTTTCAACATCAAAGTCTACATTAGTAAAGGTTATTAGAAGATTTAATTACTGTTATTTTATCAGACCACAAAGTTTCAAAAGAACATATATCAGCCACATGTACTGTGTATAAAATATCAACAAAATTCAATAGAATTGATACTCAACTATTACAGAAAAAGGAAAAAGAAGAATGTTACTGGAGAGATGTGTTGGAAAGAATTGTATCAACAATAAAATTATTGAGTCGCTTAGGATTAGGATTTAGGGGTATGAAGAAGGCAAAGATTCCAATAGGAAAGGAAATTATTTAACTTGCTTGGAATACCTAAGTGAATACGATGAGTTCTTGAAGTTACATCTACAAAAATATGCCAATCAAAGATGAGGAAATGTAAACTATTTATCTCAGAATATTTGTGACAAATTTGTAGGTCATATTGGTAATCAAGTAAGAGTGGAAATAATTGAAGAAATTAAATCTGCAGCTTATTATGGTATAATTGTTGTTTCCCCCNAACTAATTCGAACATAACATTCGAAATAGAAAACCACTTTCAGCCCCATATCTCCTGCACCCTTATAGCTATCGAGACGCAACCACCATAGTGCACGAATGGAGACTTGGGGCTACCACCACATACAAACAGCATTCATGTGCGATGTGTAGTTTTTGCGGAAAAGTGAAATATAGGGACACACACGTCCATTTTTATATATATATGTAGATGTAATCCCGAAGATGATCACTGTAAAAGATTGAAAATATTTGTTTTTATCATGTATTTCTTAAATTTAATGCTTTACTGCTTGATTTTCTGGTTTGATGAGTAAACTGATCTTCTAACTTTGATGGTACAGAATAGATTGCTGTATGACAGTCATCTGTCATATACTTATTTTTACCATTGTTTTTGTAAGTTTAGACACCAAATTATGTCTTTAGTTGTCAAGATCTCGCTTCTTTTATTTTTGTGATTGGCACTTGCAAGGGAATTTGGTTCAAATTGCTTTATCATTGATGGAGATTAAGGAAGAAAGGCCAGCAATTGAAATAAGCAAAGGAGACGGAGAGAAAAGGGGAGTGGAATGATTTGAAAAAAAAAAAGTGTAAGAGGGAAGAGTGTGTATATGTGTACATGTGTCGGGTGAGAGGGATGGGATGTAGGGAGCTAAGAAAAGTATAGAAGGAAAAGGATATCTTGAGAAGGGACAAAAAGAAGCCTAAACAGAAAAACTTTGCTTTTTTTTGGAATTATTCTTGAGGAATCTTAGAACTGAGTTAAGAAATAAGTTAAGTAAGTTACATAGCAGGGAGTAGGTTATTTTTTAAAGAAATTACTGAGAAACTGGAGGAAGAATGTCAAGAAAAAAACTGGAGGAAGAATGTCAATGGAAAAAAAAAAAACACAACTTAAACTTCTGAAAGAATTTGCTTCAGTGTATTCTTTAAATGTCTTCAGGCTATCACTGAGTGCAGCAGTTAATAATCATTTTCTAAGCAGATTCTGGTGATGATTCCTTTGCAGTTGCAGATGTCTGTTATGATAAGTACTAAAGACAGTTAGGTAACTGTGAATGGACAGCACTTGGAAGAAGAAAAAATATGTCTTTGTATTTATGTAAAATAAAAATATTCATATATTGTGACCAAATGGTCGGCACCTCTTCGATGCCTTTCAGGATTGACACCACCGTGTCTTCCGGATACAGAAATTTGGATGGCCGTTATGTTAGTTTTTGCGCAAGCAGTCACGTTATAGGACTCGGAATGGAGGCGGAAGGAGACAAATGGAAGAAGTACACTTCACAAACTTATCATTTAACAAAATACCCGTTTATTAATCGATACCATCTATTTATAACCTATATACAGATGCTTAGTGGATGCTAATAATACGATATATATATATATAGGAACCTTATTATTATGATCACGACCCTGACTGCGAGAGAGATAGTGAGCTTACAATCGTTTGCGTGTTGATAACCTTAAGAATTCATAGAAATTGAAGATCCATTCGGAACTTTCAGGAAGTAGGGAGTCTCTTTTCTCTGAAGCAGAGAAGATTTCTCATGAGCGATGACAGATTTTCTTGAGTGGTGACAGCTAAGATCAGCGATGGCAAGCGGCTGGACACACACAGTTCAAGAAAAAAATTGGATGACAGCTTTCGACTCATCAGCTCCTCCTTTTTATTAGGGGATCTGTTCTGGGTTTTTCCCACGATCTTATTAGGAGTTTTTCTACAACTGTCGAATAGTCGGTTTTTGATCGTAGATTCCTGGTGACACATTAGGAAGCTGTGTCACCGTTGAAAGGAAGTGAATCCAGAGGAAGATATGATCGCATCCTTCCAGGTTTTTATTAAATGTTGGAAAAAAAAAACAGAATTTTTTTCCATGCATTTAAACGTTATTTTGTTTCATTTTAAAGCGAGAGTGAAATTTTATAAAAAGTTTATAAAAGTTTATCAAATTCAGGCACTCACATATTAATGTAATTTTTTTTTTATTTTATAAGGGTAAAAATGCTAAATTCAAACTTTATCTTGAAGACCATGAAGACATATTTGCAGTAACACCAACTCAAGGAAGTAATGATATTATCTTTATGATAAGAGTTAATAAATCTGAAGAATTAGATTATGAAAGAGAAGATTTACTAGAACCAAAACAGTTTAATTTTAAGGTAAAAAAAAATAGCTATCTCTTATAATCTAATTAATTTAATTATGTAAGAATATAAAATAGACTATATTTATGAACTTTCATTAAATTTTTGTCGCTGGACTGAAGGTTTTTTTAGTAGTGTATTCTTAGGTATTGTAACAACCAGTCTGTGGTAGATTTTGTTGAATATAAAATATTAAAGTAAAATCTGTTATATATAGAATAACAAAAGTATATCAAGGCACTAAAAAACACCTTTCACATTTTTCAACAAATGCTTTCAACTAAAAGGTTAAAAGCATTTGTTTAATCAAAACAAATGCTTTCAACCTGATTTATTAAATTAAAAATTTTTATAATATATTGTAAAAATATGAAAAGATAAGAATTTATAAAACTACTTATTTCAATTCATGCATAGGACTTAAGAACTATTTTACTTTATCCTATATAAATCTTATATTAAAATAAATTTTCTATTGTATATAATAATTAAATTCTGTTTTAAAATAATAATTAATGTAGTATTTATTTATTTATTATTTCAGATTATAGCAGAAGAGACTGAAACAGAAGAAGGTTATTATTCAGTAGTGAATGTAACAGTAAATCTTGAAGATGTAAATGATAACTTTCCTCAGTTTTTATCTGCTGATGTTGCTTATGTTTATGAAAATGCTAGCCAAGGAGACTTTGTAGCTTCAATTATTGTAAATAAAATATTTCAAAGAATTATATTATTTATACCATTAAATATTAATCTTTTATACAACATTTTTTGCTAATTTAAACTTTTTTATAATTTTTTTAATTTCTATATCTGTTTTTATTAACTTAGTTTAAAGTTGAAAAATTTGTGTATCAATAAGTTTACAACTTATAATTTTTTTCCAAATACATAACTTAGAATTATTGTCAAAATTGTTCTCAAAAATCAATGTTAAAATAAAATAAAAATTTATGTTAAACAGTAAAAGTCAGAAAATGAAATATAATCAGTATCTTGTAATATTACAACAAATATAGATCATATAAAAATATTTAAAATTATTTTAAAATGAAGGATTAACTTTTATGGAAGTTCATAAATTTATGTGATAAAAAATTGCCAGGACAAAAATACTTGAGTAGACAATACATAAAAATGTGTCTTCTCAGTTTGTTCTTTCACACACTTACACACATGAGGAAAATAACAGTTCTACAGTAGAGTCAACATTTCATTTGAGGCTACTCATCCACCTCATTATGTAAAACGTTAAAAGATCCCTTTAGTGATGGCTCAGTATTAAAAAATAAATATATTTGATGAAAAATTTCCAAGACAAAAATTTTTAAATTTAAAAATTATGTGCGTGCGTGAAAAGACAAAATGAAAAGACACGTTTTTATGTATTGTTTTAAGGATTTTCTTAAATTTTGTAAATTCATAAATTTGATTATTTATGCGATTAATGCATCTAAATTACATTTAATATTTTTACAATGCTAGCTTAAATAAATTTCATTATTATTATTATGAAAAATATGCACAATTATTTATATATTTCCTGTATACAGTAGTATGATTTAGAGTCAGGTAAAAGTCAAAATTGACTTTTAAATCTAATGTACAGTAAAAGGTCATTTATTCAGGAACAATCTGAAATTATAGAAAAAATTGTTAATGAAATATTATCAATTAAAATAAATATAAAATTTTTTTAATTTAATTAATTTTGAGTTTTAATGAATTTTATTTTTCTAAAAATCAAAACTTTTACTTTTAGGCTACCGATATTGATTCTGGTTATTATGGAACCAAAGGCATTCGATATAGGTTGATACCAAACTACATATCTGATAGGTAATAAATATATATATATATATATATATGAATTATATGAATAAACATATAATTAATATAAATGTAGTAATTATGTGCAACAATATACAGTATATGAATTTTATCATTTTATAAATTAGTATTATAATGAAATTTATTGCATATTATAATTTACATGTTAAATTTTATACTAAACTTTAATTTGATTTTAGTAAGTACGGTGGAACCTCACTTATCGAGTGTTTTGCGTAACGAATGGCCAGGATAGGGAAAGTCCCGATTTTGCGCTTGCTACATCAAAGTTTTGCACTCATTCCGATAGCATCTTAGTGTTGTTTGCGATCACACATTTTTCCATACTTATGTTCAGACATATCACATATAAACATCAACAACCATAATCTGCTATATACATGATACGTGAACGATATGACAAATTCTTGGACTATGTAAAGGCTTTAATTAATTTGACTAGAAGTAGGCTTCCATCTCATATTAAATTTAATAACCAATTCCAAATTAAATTTTAGAAATGTATTCATATTTAAAAAAAATTAATTATTTATAATTATTAAATTTAAAACGAGATGGAAGCATAACTGTCTACCTCTAGTCAAATTAATTAATTTCTACTATTTAATAGTAGAATAGCCTTTACATAATGTTTATCTGTGGTTTTTTTTTCTATACATCGAATTCGCATTTTAGGTTGGTTCATTCGGCACTAGAAGAAAAGCTGATGATGATTCATGCTCCTTAACAATGTTTATTGTATAATTTTGTTTGAATAAATGGTATAGATAAAATATTTGAGTATTTTTTCGGCGTGGAACACATTATTGTATTTTATATTAATTTATATGAAAAAAATTTTTTCACTTTAATGAGTGTTTCACATTACAAGTAAGATTGGAACGAATTAGGCTCATTAAGCGAGGTTCCACTGTATAGATTTTTAATTTATGTAACTTAGTCTTCTTTAGTTTTCAGATAGATAGAATAACAGGAGATCTAAGAGTTTCAAAGGATGATCATGGATTTGATTATGAAAAAATTCAAGATTATTATCTTACCATAGAAGCAAGAGATGAAAATGGCACAGGAAATGCAAATACAACTCAGTTGCACATTGTTATCCTTGATGTTAATGATAATGCACCTAAGTTTTGTTATGAGAATTATAGTGGATACTTATTGGAAAATTCAAACAAATTTATGGATATACTCCAAATACAGGTGAATAATATTTTATTAATAAAATTTATATTTATTATTAATTGTTTTCTATAAAAAAAGAAAATGACCTTTTTTTTATTAAAATTACAGGCAACGGATGCTGATGAACCTAATTCAACTAACAGTATAGTTAGATACCAAATTATTTACGATGCTTTTGAACAGTTTACAATTGATCCAGTAGAAGGTATTATTACTCCAAAGTCGTCATTAGATTTTGAAGACGATGAGCCTCCTGTAAATGATAACTGTATAACTATTTGTACTAAAACATATTTCTTAAAAGTAATGGCTTATGATCTTGGAATTCCAAGACAATCATCTGAAGTTTCAGTTTATATTACTTTAATGGTAAGACAGATTTACAGTTTTATTATATATATATATATATATATATATGCTGAGAATTCAATACAAGATGTGGCTATAAAATAATGAGACTGATGCTGTAACTTAATTATTATTTTTAAACTTACATTTTAGTTTTATTCCCCCTTGAATATATGATCTTCCTACATCCATACACCTATGAATTTGGATCTTCCACTGATCATAACAGTGCCACAGGTCACTTTCTGTCAGGGTACACAGAAGCTCCATCATTTTTTCTTAATCACAGAAACTGAGTCTAAACAGGTTCTCTTCAGTGCAGATGTCACATTAGGGATAAGGTAAAAATCACACGGAGCTATATCATGTGAATAAGACTGCTGTTAAAGCAGTGTGATGATTTCTTGGCCAAAAACTGCTGCTTCACTGACGGCACTAAATGTGTTGGTGTGTTATCCTGGTGGAGAATGAACCATTTCTTCTGACCTTTTTCCATAAAATTTCCAGTACATGTTTATATTATTGGTGGTTCACTGTTGTGCCTTCTGGAACTCAGCACTTCAAAATTACATTCTTATTATCAAAGAAAACTCTCTGCAGAAAGTAACTGCAAAAAGTATTCTGTGCCATTCAAACACATGTGCGAGACATGCAGATGTGTTTCCACAAGCTTCATGTAGCAAGTGAAAAGATTCAGTGTTCTTTTTCTTTAATTTACTATTAATTTCAGGTTGATATGCTGCTCCACTTTCAAGCTTGTCATTTTTCTGACATGCAAGAAAAACACATTGACTTCAGAGTTCCTATCTGCAAACTATACAATTGAGCACTATACAGTTGAGACTTCTGTTCTTGTTCATACTTCAAGATCTTTTATCCCTCTCTCCAGCCCATGTGTGACTATTCAATGTACAGAAGTGCAGTCTCATTTTTATTTTATAGCTACACCACATATATTATATATAAACTAATAATATACAGAGTGAATCAAAAATCATTAACATTCTTATATAATTGAACTGAGTTAGACAGGAAATTTTGACATGATAGAAATATGTTATGCCCAGGAGCAACCTTGTCATGTCTTTGTGTGTGTCAGTTGCAGCTGCCATTTGAATTCATTTTTAAAATTTTTAAATAGGAATGGTGGTCATATGACACGTGTAATAACTTTTGAGAGAAATTGGGAGGCCCTGGAACTAGTTTGAAATTTAAAAGGAAATGTATATTTTATTAAATCAAATCATAGAAAAAACAAGTAATATAAGTGGCAAGATGGTAACACCAGACTTTGACATTGGCGCTCATAAAGAATAGAGAGAAAACAATATTTAGAATAAAAGAAAATCAAAACGCAAATTGTTTAATACAAGACGCAATAAGGAAAAAGGAAACAAAGGTAAAATATGAGCATGGGTGTTGATAAATAGGGAGTTGAGACAATGGTATCGGATAAACCATCCCAGGCATACCTTTCTCGCGACCCAATCTGATTTCAAATTCTATTTTGAGACAGGTAAGAGACCAATCGGGGAGTGAGGAAGGGAAAGTCTGACCAATTAGAAAAGAATCGAACATGAAAAACATAAAACTATATAGGTAAATGTCTCTTCAATCCGAACAAAATTTCGGTAGACTTTCTCACAGCTCAACAGGTTAAAAATCTCCTTTATTGTTTTTCACATATGCATTTCGGGCAAGTTTAATTTTCCTGCCCCTCTTCAGTGCTACAAAACAAATTCATATTGAATTTACACAAAACAACTTTATAGTAGAAAATGTTTACAAGACATAAAAAGACACTTTATAATACCTTAAGATTTCCCACATGTTCTTTCATCTTTTTTACAGTACTTGTACTATCAATTTACAATGTTTTCAAATTTATAATTTTCTCTTAAGGGTGTTTTACATCGAAATCCGTACCATTATGCTACACAACTAATTACAAATTATAATTATTAGTAACATTTTAAATCACTTATTTATAACAAATTTTTTCCTTTAAAAAAATATTTACTAAAAAAAATACATACATGTTTTTCTTTAAAAGTGTCACAACAATAACAGAGTAGTATACGTTGTATAAACTTTAAAAAGGTTCAACATACAATAAAATTTTCACGACAATGTATAATCTTAGAAATATAAACTATTGACTTGTTGCGCCCCCTATCATGTTATACCATTGCTGGTCGATTTGCATGCCATTGGAAATGTTTATTAAATTATTACCACTGTATTTCATTATTTCTATATGTTCTTTGAATTTACGTTTATATATATTTTTCTCACAGTGTAGGATTTTAATATTATTTCTATCTATTTTGCAGTTACTATTTTTGATGTGGTTATACCAAGGTGAATTATCATGTTTTAACCGTATGGCAGCTTCATGTTCTTTTATCCGTAATTCCAAAGTTCGACCCGTTTCACCTATGTATTCTTTAGGATTTTGACAGTTGCAATTAATTTTGTAAACAGTTCCAGTTTTTTTCAATTTATCAGTATTGGTTTTGTATTTTCCTAATTTATTTGAGATTTTATTTGAAATTTTATTGGTCAAAGATGGGGCCAAAATTATATTGTCTTTTTTAAGGCATTTAGAGCTATTATTATAAATATCAGCTATGTAAGGGAAGGGTTTGTAATTTTTATCTTTCTTATTTTTTGTTATAAATCTATTATTGTAGTATTGTGTATGCCAGTTTTTTAAAAGGATTTTTGGATAACTATTAAGAATAAATTTATCATCTAATTCGTTTAATTCAGTTTTGCGTTTCTTTTTACTGGTAGTTCTAGTATATATCTTTTTTAATTCCATTATATATGTAT